ATATGGGGCCTATAGGTAGTGTCTTGGAGATTAAGGTTTGGCGTCTTTAGGGCTTGGGGTTTCTGGGGGTTTGGGGATCTACCGCTGAGGGCCGACATGTCGACCTCCAAGAAGGTGGCATTGAGCTGGTTGAACTGGAAGTCGCCTCATCTAGTAGGGTTTAGGGTTTAGGGTTTAGGGTTTAGGGTTTAGTCAGACTGGTGATGGGGGGGCATTGGGTGGTCACGTAGCCTCAGGGGAACTTGAACGCGAGGTTGGATGTTGATGTCGGCTAAAGCCGTTTCTTACTCGCGGTTTCCTACAGATGAGAGGTTCCGGATACTTTTGCAAAGCAGAGAAAGTCTTTCTCAGATGCCCAAAGACAATCCTGTCCTCCCGGGTAGCTGCTCCTGTAGATCCGCAGTATCATCACCTAGGCTGGCCCGGTAAAACCTCTGAACGAATATTCCTAAATAAGATCCTCTTCAGCTCAGTGATAGAAAAACTGAAAACTATCCCAAAGGCCAGCCACCAAGAAGGGCGGCATGTTGCATAGGGCCACCAGCCAGGGCCTTGTACAGACCATGATGGCAGGGAGCCGGTATACCGCCAACATCAGGACGGACATATGAAGAGCTTGGGGCAGCGTGGTGACCATGGGAGTGGAGATCAAAGTCATGACCGCCATGCCGAAGACAAACCAAACATCCAGCACGCAAGTTCGAAGCAGGCGCGGAAACATGAAGAAGGTGCCAAAGAATACCAAGCAGACATTCGACAGCCAAGCGAGCGCTGGTGACATCCATCTTGTTGTCGAATCTCCCAAGATGTTGATCTGGGTGGCAGTGTTAATAATGAGCCACATGACCACCATGCAGTTGTTGACAGCAAAGGCCATTGCCAATCGCCTTGTGCCTGGGCAGTATGGGCGGCCAAGTAGGGCGATTTCTATATCCATGCCCTACCCGTCCTACACGCCCAGCTACCCTTAACCCTCAAGCCGACCCTGAACTTTTGCATCACTGGGGAAATGCATGCTTCTCTCATTTCGTTCTGCCCTTTAGGAACATGGTTACGAAATTCAATAATATCTCCGTCCTCGGAAGTTGGCGGTTTAGGAACCCGGCTATCTTTATCACGTCCCTACCTTACTTGGCTCAGGTCCATACAAAGAAGTTCGCCCACAAAGAAGTAGTCCGAAGGAATGGCTCAAACCTGCCAAACCCTATACCCAAACCCTAAACCTAAGAACCCTCAACCCTCTTACAAAGACTGAGCTCAACTCATGTTCGCTGCTCGCCGCAGCTGCAGCCTAACAGCCCTACCGTTTGGGGTATATTGTAGTGTGACTCCAGATCTAAAGTAGACAATTGTAGATACATAGATAGATAGATAGATAGATAGATAGATAGATAAATAGATAGACAGATAGATAGGTAAGATAGATAGATAGATAGATAGATAGGTAGATAGGTAGATAGGTAGATAGGTAGATAGGTAGATAGATAGATGGATGGATGGATAGATAGATGGATAGACCCGATCGATGGCTAGTTAGACAAATAGTTAGATAAATAGATAGATAGATGGATGGGTAGATAGGTAGATAGATAGATATGTGGATAGACAGACAGATAGGTAGATGCGGTAGATGTTAGGTCTTCAGATAGATCGGGACCATTATAAACGGGTTCATATTCTGTCTACTTGCTCAAGCCTCTTGTTTACGGTCGCCCAAGTGACGAACTCGCTCCCTGATCAGCTGCTGCTCCTGGAACAGAGACGAGTTTAGGGCTCAGGGTTCAGATTTGCCTAAATCCAGATCTGTTCAGCGTGCACGGGCTATAAACAAAACCCTCTACTTTCTGGATCGAGCCGGTGATGCTCGAATGCAATATCACACCCTAATTCAGTCGGAAGACAACCGTCAACGCGTTAAACCAGCAAAGGCAGAACACTGCCGGACTGGCAGCACATCCGGCAACAAATCGACAGGTCGTGGCTGAAGGGTTTAGTCAGAGTCATGACTTGAATGAAAGGTTTCAAAGGTGCAGGGAGTGGTGCCACCTTCGCGGAGGGCACCGTTCGAGTTTCGGAACCACAGACATCTAGGGAGCCTCAATAACTGGAACAAGGCTTCGCCTACTGTTGTAGTTTCTTGCCTTGAGCAACCCAATGTGTAGTGGACACCAGAGGCACTTACAGCCGGAACACTATCATCGCCCCCCGAAAGTCCCACGCCCCAAAGTCCACAACTTCGAAGCCACAAACCCTAAGCCTGGGTGCCAAACTCTAAACCCGAAAACGCTCTATATACCAGGATACTTCATGTAAGAATCCCCCCCTCCCACACACACACACATACACTTCACAACTGTATCCACGAAACAACCCTTAAGCATAACTATTCCCGAAACCGACACCCTGAGCCCTAAATAACTAAACCCTGTGAAACCTGAGCGGCCCTAAACCCCTATGGGTTCCCCTCCTCGCGGCTAAATTTTTCTGGACTACGCCGCTGGCAGCAGGCAAAGCCTTGGCAGCTCCAGGGTGCCAGGGCTTAGGCTTCGGCTTTCCTGGTTGTCTCTTGCTGCTTTCTCTGGCTCCTAATCACAGAATGAAGAGGTTAGGGTGTTTTGGGTTGGGGCTTGGTGGCAGTGGCTTTAGTTCAGAGTTTGTGCGTGATGGTTCGGTGCTGGGGCTTAGAGGCTTCAATACTGAGTGATCGCATGAACGGCTGTATGGCCGGGACGTTTGTGGAGTCCTAGACCCAAAACCCTTGAGGTGCCTCTGGTTTCACTGCTCCCGAGAATTTGCAGAACGGAGGAGCCCGACCTATACTCGTCGTCGTCGTCGCAGTCGTCGTAGCCGAAGCCGTAGTGGCAGTGTAGTAGTAATAGTAGTAGTAGTAGTAGTAGTAGTAGTAGTAGTACTAGTAGCAGTAGCAGTAGCAGTAGTAGTAGTAGTAGTAATAATAATAATAATAATTGTAGTAGTAGTGTTTATAATAATACTAGCAGCAGTAGCAGCAGCAGTAGCTCTTGTTGTTTGCAGCAGCAGTGGGAGTAGGGAGTAGTAGGAGTAGGAGTAGTAGTAGTGGTAGCAGCGGTAGTACCTGGTAGTGGTAGTGTCGCGTGGTTGCGGTCGCGGCAGGAGTAGCGTTGAATTGAGGCAGTAGCACTACGAGCAGTCGGAATCAAGCGGGAATGTTGGGAATATAGGAGCCAGCAACAATCGCAATAGTACCGAAATAGAACTCAAGACCAATCATGATTGCCACATGGTAGCTCTCTAAATTAGGATTCCTTCTAGGGTCCTTTTCATAAGGGTGCCGTACTATTTGGGGGACCTAAAATGGGACGCTAATGTAGCGCAGGGTATCCTCCGTCTCTAATGCGTAGCCTTTAGAGGCCCTGACTCCATGCAGCAACCTCGGACCCGGCTTAGGCCAGCGTTTTGGGCTCTTGTGCCAACCGGCTAGGATTCAAAGCTTCGGGCTTAGGGCTCCGTTAACGGAGTCTGCGGTTTCCTAGCGTCGGTGCCGAGAAGCAGGATCCGAACCTCTTGGCAAAGTCCCTGATGTCCTTCCGGTGCAGAAACGCCAGCCAAGTAACCTGAGAGCAGGCGACCACAAAGTCTGAGAACATGTTGCAAGAAGAGGCTTGGATGTTTCGGCAATGCTCTCCATCTCCCAGCTCCTTTCATTAAGCTGCGCCTGTTGTTGGTTACGGTAGTAAGGCCAATCATGGCGGCGGTTGTCGTGCTGGCAACGGCAGCCACAGCAGCAGCAACAGCAGGAGGCACTCGCAGCAACTTTCATCTGCCCCTGGCCTTGAGGAGGCAGGCGACTTGTACCGCTGTGCAGATGACCAGCCACGACTCAGTGTGTAGTGCATATGGGTCGAGGGAGCTCTCCATTGTTGCGGAGGAGACAGGCCACGATCTAATCGGGGCTGACGACTTGTGGAAGAACCCTGACTCCTAAACATGCGTAATGGCTTATGCGCATACGAAATATCGCCGTCCCGAGTCTATCTGTTGCGTCGTAGAGACTTGACACAACAAGAAAAAGCTGCGGATCGTGAATGAAGGCCGTGCATGCAAGGTACTTCCGTATATACATATATATATATATATCTCTACAAGTACATATATTTCTATATATATATATATATGGTGGTTATTGTTTCACACGTTGCTACTAGTTTAGTAGGTTGATCTTAATGAGCATGGCGAGACTGAATCATGGATACTCTCCCCTTTGGGGTTGAGCGCGGGATGTGACGTCATCTTCGGGGTGACTCAAGGTTTGTAAAGCTGCGCCAGTATGGGCACGGACGAGTACACCAGTACCCCACCGAACCTTGGCAGAATTGATCAAGTTGCTCAACTGCTATTTGGATGTGCTAGAGCTGTCCTAAACCCTAAACCTCTACACCCTAAACCCGGGTCTTTTTTGCGCAAAGCCCATGTCGTGTACCACTCAATTGCAAGCTTGCTGCTTACCGAGGCTGGGTACCTGTTGAGGGGTAGGAGGTGCCAGACCCTAACGGCCCGGCTCCACATAAGGATCACTTACTTGTTGTTAGGATTTAGGGTTTAGGGTCTTGATCCTTGCGCTTCCCATGCGGATTTGAAGGGAAAGTGCTTTGGCATGAAGACTTGTAATTTAATTGCACATCCCTTCTTGCTCTCAGATGCGACGATTGTTTCTACAGTTGGCATCCGCACTGGTACGGTTGTCGCCGTCGCTAACCACTGTTCGTCTTCTGGGGAATTTAGCTCCTTTGCGCATTCAGCTTATTCTTGTTGCTGCCGCTGCTCCGCGGAGGAGCAGCTTCAACTACCGCAGCCGAAACACACGTAAGTCCCCTTTCCGTCACACTCCTGGCCCTCAGCTTCGTCGTAAACCCTTAACCCTAAACCCTGGACCGCTGAAGATTTTTTGTGTCCAGCCTGCCCAATACAAGCTCCCGCAAAACCCTAAACCCCCAACCCTACACTCACACAGTGCTCTATGCCTTGAGCTTCTGCTGGCCGACTAAAGTCAGCACCTAAGACTGTCGGAGCCGCTTCTTTTATCAAGGTGCTACGAGGGTCTGAGACGGGTTTCAAAAGCTTTGTACGGGTTTCGTAGGGATGTGATAGGGGTACTGCAAGGGTTGCATAGGGATTGACACCGGGGATATATGATATACGGTGAAGGATTCTGTGGGTTTTTCCTGGGTTTCGGGTTGGGATTCACTGCTGGTAGACCCTATCCCTAAACCCTTAACCCAAAACCCCAAAACCCTACACCTTGAACCCAAGCCAATAAAGCCAATCCAGACCTGGAAGTTTCCACGGACTTGGCCAAACTAAATCTCACGCTGTACACCCGAGGGCTACACAATCCTCGTAAAGCTCAGACACAACCTCAATTGAACCAACAAATTCCAAAACAACTCGCGAAACCCCAAACCCCGAGGTCCGAAACCCTAACAAAACCTGAAACCCTGCAGAGGCTTGCCCAAGGCGCTCTCTGCATGTGATCGACCTTGGCAAGTAGGTCGTCGACAGCGTCACCGAACCTCCATGCCCGGGCCGGAGCGGTCCCCGCACTTCTTGGGCTTAGTGTTTTGTTTTTGGGGGGGTAAGAGCTTGGGTTTAGGGTTTCGACTTTAGGGTTTAGGGTTTAGGGTTTGTTTGGGGGTAAGAGCTTGGGTTTAGGGTTTGTTTCGGGGGAAAGAGCTTGGGTGCGGCGTTCTGATGCGATCTGGGGCATTGGGGATTAGGGCTTTGGGGTTGTGAGGGTTTGGGGTTGCGTAGTGGGCCTGCCGGTTTCGGAGTTCAGGTTTAGTTGGGTCCTCTGAGTCTGGGTAGAGCTTGATTCGCAGGGCTGCGAGCGTGTTTGCTTGTTCTATGGTGCTGCGTGTGATAATGACTTTGCTCATGGTAAGTTGCTCCCTGGCTTGAGCGATTGCGCAAGAAGCATGACAAAGATGGTCATAGATATACAACTTTCAGTACTCATGACACTTGCGACATTATTCCTGATGCTCTTAATCAAGCCCTCCAAGCTGGTTACAATTCATTCATGAGGGCCCAGCACAATCGGATGTCGTTTATGTAAATTACACAACTGCGACGAGAGCAACAGGAATTCGTCTAGAGTCTAGATGCTTTAGGACGGGAGAAGAATCTGGCATGAGCTGTCCGCTGGATACGTACTTTGATTCGAGGAAACATGTCCAGATAGTTTTCCCAAGCTAGGCGAACCAGACTCGCTTTCTTGCTTTGAGGAGCTCTTCATACAAACAGCTTATTGCAAAACAGCTTAGATCGATTAGCTAGTGCAGGTAGCGTGCGGACCTTCCAGCGTCGCTCATTGCAGCTGAAGACACAATTAGGCTGCAGGAGCAATGCAAGTTATGGAAAATCACAAGGGGCTTCCATCAATCATTCAGCCTGCAAGCCTTACTGTTGCATTTTCGGATAATCGTACGGTTGTTGCCACCACCAAGGGTTACCAGTGTTCCGAGACCTAAGGTGCCAAGAATGATTCGTGCTGCTGGTTGTTACGAGACTTCAACAAGTAATCCGTCCACTGCTTGCAAAGGGGCGGAGCTGTTTCGTCCAGGATTGCCTGGCACGCGGATATTGGCACGTGTCTGAAGATCTGTGAGATGGAGCAGGTACTACGAGCAGAGACGAGAAGAGAGCACCTTTTTGCAGCAGGCTTCTCTCGCCCGGAACTGCCGTCGCCGAGAAGAGAGCACCTAAACCCTAAACGGCCCTAAACCGTAACACCCAGAAGCCCCAACAACTTTAACAAAACTCCTCTTCGACGTCCTCAGACCCAAGCAGCGACTGCACCATGCCCCGGGACCCTTTGCAATTCTACGGTTTTTTGTGTTGGGTTTTGGGGTAAGCCACCTTCTCTGAAAGGCTTTAGGTGAAGGTTCGAGTTCAGACCTTTCGGGTTCAACTCCCGGTGCTTTGCAGACTGAGACAATTCTCCTCATTCCTGGGTCGACCAGACCTGACGGAACTTTCTGGATCCCTACAGGACATGCCCGGACATTCAGGGACTAGCTCGACGACCTGGCCTAGATCCCGAAAACCCTGGAATCTAAACCATTATCCAGCCTTGAAGCATGCATGTTTGTGAACCCGTGCTTGTGACATGTGTGAAGCACCAAGCATGAAGGGCTTGGGGGTATATTATACTATATTATAAGAAGGAACCCCCAAAACCTTTTTCTAACTATTAAGGCCCCCATGTTAGCTTCTTGCGAGCTGGCGACTTCGAGATCCTGGAGCGAAGCCCCTGAAACTCCGCATGGGGGCTTCAACCAGGGGAACGAACTCAGGATAGCGGCAGACGACTTCAAAAAACTCCTGCAAATAATGATAACCATCCTCTCCGCTAAACCATTTGGGCTCTATGTGGAAGTGCCCTCAACTTCTAAAGCTGCCACATGCCAGGTTGACCCGGATGTCAGTCATGGCTTTGCTGTCCACGTCCAAGAGCTGCTGAAGAAGAGCGACACGCTGGATGCCTCTCTGCGATGAATGCCAAGAGAGATTACTTTCGTTGTATAATTCCTTTAGATTTACATACTTCCTATCAGCATATACACCAACACCATTGCTATCGCCGCCCTTTGCATGGATGCGACATTTCGAAGGAAGGCGCAACGTTCAGAATCATCATTGCGAAAAATGAGGCAACGATATACTCGCAGCTGCTAGCTAACATGGCAAGTGTTCATCTAAACTGCAACGTCTAACAACGTGAACACTCCGGAGCCCGGAGATTGCAACACAAGAACAACGCGAATCATCATGGTCGGTGTTAAGAAGATTTAAGAGGCAAACTGGGACATCAGAGCCTCAAATCCGGTGAAAAGATTTTGGTCTCGGAAACTTCAAGCCAAGCCTTCCGTCAGTCGGTTATTTGAAGGGTTCAGGGTACATGCCTATTGCAGCTTACAACCAGTATGGAGGTAATGCATTATATATATAAAGATAGACATGCTTGTGACTATGTACGTATATGCCTGACAGAAGTGCTACAGTCCTGGGATTCTATGTTTGCTTCTTCTCACCTCGTCCCTCGAGGAGCCTACACACACCGACGTGCTCCTTGCCCTAAACCCTAAACCCTAAACCCTAAACCCTTTTTTAAAACCCAGACTCTGTTGATCAGCTGGGAAGCAGCACTGCATGATTTCACGCCCTAAACCCTAGACCCTAAACCCTATACCCTTGCCTGCATCGATCCCAAGGAAGAGGGGTCCGGAAGGCGAGCCATTCAACGCTTCGTCGGCCATCGTCAGACCTGAGCACAGGCTGAACTGGGAATATTGGCGCTTCAGTAGGTAGAGTAGGGTTTGGGAGCCTATCGTAATATAAGTAGAATAAGGAGCCCTGAGGAAAACTATTGTCCTTCGGGCTTCAATCTTGCTTGTCTTTCCTTCAGGTTCATGCTTGCGGTACGCAGCCTTGTCACGTTGCCTCGCGGCCAGGCAAAACGATGTGATCACACAATATACTACGGCACCTTATTAAAAAAGGACCCTAAAAGGGACCCTAATTTGGAAAACTACCCACATACATCTGCACGGTTCACCCGTCTGCTTCCCCAGTCGTGGAGGCCTCTGAGCTCAAGTCCTTGCCCAAGCCCAAACTCGACTTGCATGAAGCTTCTGGCATTATAGTCACTATAATCCGTTTTTTATTGAACCCAGACTCAAATCCTAATCACTATAAAACATTACATGAAGAAGTGCCTCGGAATCCGGAATCGAATGTCTCTGGCATCCGAGCGGCTGTGGCACAAAACCTCCTGGACAGCCACCGTGAAGGTCTCCGACCTCTGCTTTCTCTGCACATGCTTCTATCATTACTACTATGACTCTTGCTATCATATTCCCATTATTGCTAATATTATATTTAGGGTTTAGGGCTTAGGGTTTAGGGTTTAGGGGTTTAGGGTTTAGGGTTTAATGCTTTGATTTATCAATATATGATATATAAATATTGATTGAACCCCTCTTCAGCCTCCAGTCCTCGAAGCATCCCTCGGAGGGTTTACGTATTGTAGGGCCTGAGTGCTTACCAATATTGGTTTTGGTTGGCATAACCTACCACATCCCTCTACGATTTTGGGAGTTCCTTACAAATCCTAGTAACTATAGTCTAGGGTTTAGGGTTGAGGGTGAGGATCTATAAGTCTTAAGGTTCGGGTTTAGCTTCTCCTCCTCCAAGGAGGGACTTGTCCTTCCAAAAGCCCTCCACTTCCCCTTTCAGGTAAGCGAACAGTAAAATTCTTCAAAGATCTCTACTCAAACAGCACCTTCGAGCCGTAAACTACCAACAATGAACACTAAATTTCGGGCCTAGGATTGTAGGGATTGATGTTTGACGGTTTAAAGGTTAAGCAGCTTTAACTTAAGATGCTAAGGGGGCTAGGGAACCGGTTTAGGGTTTAGGCTTCCCAAGACCCTTAACCCCAACTCAATATGTCAGAACACTGCAACAAAGGCCACGACCGAGTGTAAACTACGAAGACGGCGGCCAGACCAGCCTGAAAGGAGCAAGACACAGGGGTTGCCTATAGTATCCTGTAGTTGGTGTAGGGCTTCATCTGGATGGCAACTAGTTCGTTAACGGTTTTTGTGCAAGGTGTCGTAAATTTGGTCGAGGGATTGAAATTGGCCTAGGTGGGGCTGCTCCGCTGATGGTTGGAAAGGAAGTTGTGTGATCAGAATAACTGGTGAATGCTGCCCCAAACCTTCCCGATGCATCTGATGGATTTGAGCACCCCTCTCGAGTTGGTGTTGTGTTTTTCGTTTCTTGCGATAAGTCTCGAAAGCCGCCGCGCCTATCGACGACTTTATCCCTGGAGCTTTCATAGTGAATGGGCTGGAGTTCGTCTCCTTGTTCTAGAGTTTAGGTGGGGTTCCAGTGCCGAGCACGAGTTTTTTTGAAGCCTCATGGTAGCTGTTCGACTTGGAAAAAATTCTGCGGATGGTCAACGCCTGCCACTCAGGGGCACCCCTGCTGTGCT